TGGTGCCTGTTTATTTCATAGCTGTGAACGAAATTTATCGTACAGGTTCTAAAAGTTGACTCTGTTGGATAGTATTATACACGGCAGGAACCGCAGCCACTAGGCATAGAGTAATGATATTCGTATTATGTTTTTATATCATATTTTTATACCGTCTTAGATGATATTTGATGTGGACAACCATATCATTTGAAAAATTTGTAAAACCCAAGGAAATAAAGAATAAAGACTCCTCGTATACCACAATCATCATTTAATTAACTAGTTTTTCTTAATTATTAGTTTATTAAATAATGAACTAAATTTAAAAATATGATTAATTCAAATAATGTGACTGTCCACATCAAATACTACCTAAAACAATATGAAAATGTGATACAAAAATATAGTATGAATAACTCATTGGCAGATCCTTCTGCAACTTGAATCCGGAGAGAAAGTGCAACAAATTATCATACCAATCATACCCTTTTTTCTCCTATAAAAGAATAATATTATGGGATATAATTGATTTTTTTTTTCTCGAAAAATAGTTGAAAAAGAGTCCTGAGTATATATTGCTAATGGACTAGGATCCTCTCTTCTTCTCTTTCTATCCCTTTCATCCTCTCATCTTATATTCTTTATTTTGTTTTTCTCTTTCTATAAAAAATTAATATAAGATGTTGACGTGGCTTAACCGTAATCATTCAAATAGGAGGAGAGGGAAAAAAATAGGGAAGAGAATCCAACTCCATTGCTAATATACCAGAAGCATCCATAAACGTATTTAAACATGTGTTATTGGAAATCATTACGGTGTAAGACCTTTCATATTAGATTAGAAAAAGTCTTTGTGATATCAATATAATTAAAAGGAAAAATAATGAAAAGAGCTTGAAAACTTTGAGTTTTAACAATAAGGACAAAATAAAGGGTAAAGTGAATATTACCATAATTGACTTTTTAGTATAAAAATGTGGTTTTTCGTTAAAGTGAACAGTTCCGGGAGCTTTTCGTTAAAGTTCCCATTATTAAACACATACAAGGATAACACTCTCACAATAGATTAGAAAATTTGAGTATAATACTAATGTATTGGACTCATGAGTTCAATATATTAAACTCATGAGTGTGTATTTAACTAATGAATGTGATATCTGTTAGGAGTATGAAGATCCTATGGCTGTGAATTAGACATGTGTCAAGAGATTACAAAGTTAGTTAAAGTTTGTTATAGTGTAGCTTAGAGTGTAAGCTACAAATGCAAACTATATAAGCTTTGTAACGATCATTTTGTAACTAACAAGAAAGATAATACATTTCTAAAATTCTCTTCTCTGTCTAAACTCTTGATTCTCCTTTCTTCTTCTCTCTTTCTCTGTAAAGCTATCTTTAGCAATATTATACAATAGTTTACATGGTATCATTCGCCTAAACAAGCATCTCAGCTTGGTGGTCTTTCGATCTTGGTTTTCTGTGCTTCCGCTTCTCTAATTTCTCTGTACTCTTCTATCTGAACTTCTCTCTGTGGATTTGTGATTGTTTTCTGATAAATTGGGGTATTTCATCTATACTCATTCGTCTGATTTTGTTTTCTCAAAAGTGTGCCCACCAAAGTGTTTTTTGTGGTTAGTTTTCTGTCAAGATTTCTACATAATTGACAACAATGGTGACCGCTGCTCAGTTACAGATTCTACAATCTCCGATTGCGTCTTTGATTCCCTCAGTCTCAAGCTCGGTAAATGTGAAATTGGATGAAACCAATTATTTGGCTTGGCATTTTCAGATGGAGTTGCTTCTTGAAGGCCATAGTTTAATTGGCTTTGTTGATGGTTCGGTACCTTGTCCTGCTCAGTTTTGTCCTGATTCTTCTGGTGATTTGGCTACGAGGGTTCAATCTGATGACTACAAGGTGTGGAAAATGCATTATAAAGCGTTAATGCAATTGATCACTTCAACATTGTCTTCGGCTGCGATTTCATGTGCCATTGGAAGTACTAGCTCCAAAGAATTGTGGAGTCGTCTTCGAGAACAATTTTCCACAGTCACAAGAACAAGTATATTTCAGCTCAAATCAGAGTTGCAGACCATTAAGAAAGGTAGTGATTCTATCACTGTGTATCTGCATAAAATTAAAGAAGTTCGAGATTTGTTGTCTGCTGCTGGTGTCTTTTTTTATGATGATGATATAGTGATTCTCACACACTAAATGGTCTGCCGGCTGAGTTCAACACTATAAGATCCGTGATTAAGGGTCGTGAAACTGTGATATCATTGAAAGATCTTCGGTCTCAGTTGCTTGCTGAAGAAGTTTTGGTTGATTCTAATCATTCAGGGCCGGTGTTATCTGCACTAATGGCACAAACCAATGGATTCCCATCCAAGACTCAATCTTTTTCCGGTTCTGGAGGAAATTATGTTAGTTCTAATTCCAATTCATATAAGTCATTTAATCAAAATAAAGGCAGAAATAGGTTTGGAACCAACTTCAATCCGAAATATGGTCCTAGCAAGAACCTTAATGCAAGTCAGGCACCTGGTATTCTTGGTACTTCACCACCAAGACCCCAGAACTATGGTTTTCAGGTTCAAATTTGTCAAATTTGTGGGAAACATAATCATTTGGCATCTTCATGTCGGTTTAGGAATACCAATGTTTCTCAAGGTTGTCAAATTTGTGGTAAGCACAATCATCTTGCTGACACCTGCCAATTTCGAAATATGAGTGGTGCATCTGGTTGCCAAGTATGTGGGAATCCATATCATAATGTTGAAACCTATTTTCAGAAGAATGGAACCTCCTCAATAAGTGCTATGCATGCTGCCACAACCAATGGTTCTTACTCATCTTTCTCATCTCCATCAGCACCATCTTAGCAGCAAGTTTGGCTCACTGATTCTGATGAAAATCATCATATGACCTCTGAAATGGGAAATCTTTCATTGTCCACTCCATATCCTTCAAATGATCATTCAAACAGCTAAGGGTGCAGGTTTAGCTATCTCCCATATTGGTTCTAGTCTTCTTCGAACTCCAATGCAGCCTATTAGGCTTAATTCTATTCTTTATGTGCCAAAATTGTCTCAAAATTTGTTATCTGTGCATAAGATCTGTTTGGATAATAACTGTTGGATGATTTTCGATGCTTTCTCATTTTGGATTCAGGACAAAACCACAGGGAGGATATTCTACAAAAGGCTGTGTCATAATGGGTTGTATCCTATTATCTCATCAAGGTCTCATTCGGTTATCAACAGGGACAATTGCAGCTTTTCTGGGCAAACAAGTTACAGTCAGTATTTGGCATAAACGTCTAGGTCATCCCTCTAATACCATTGTTTCTCAAATTTTAAATTCCTCTCAAGTGTCTTGTGTTGCTGATCAAGATCCTTCTGTGTGTCAACCATGTTTAGAGGGCAAATTTAGTAAACTACCTTTTTCTTCTTCAAGAGACAAATCTGTACACCCCTTTGACATTGTTCACAGTGATGTATGGGGTCCTGCCCCTTGTGTTTCTCTAGACGGATTCAAATATTATGTCACATTCATTGATCATTGTACAAAATTTTGCTGGATTTTTCCCATATGCAATAAAAGTGATGTTTTCGGTACATTTGTTTCTTTTTACAATTTTATCTTCAACCAGTTTCAAACTTCCATTAAGATCCTTCACAGTGATGGTGGTGGTGAATATATTGGCAAAGCATTTCACAAGTTTCTATCCGATAAAGGCATAAAGCATCAATTGTCTTGCCCTCACACACTTGAACAGAATGGGATGGCCGAAAGAAAACACAGACATATCATTGAAACATCCATCACTTTATTACAATCTGCCTCTTTACCATCTTTGTTCTGGTCCTTTGCTTGTCAAACTTCCGTATATTTGATTAATAGGATGCCATCTCCTGCATTAGGAAATAAGTCTCCATTTCAGCTGTTGTACAACTCTATCCCTACAATCCAACATCTGAAAGTGTTTGGGTGTTCCTGTTACCCTTGGTTGAGGCCATACACTAGTACCAAATTAGAACCCACAACAACCAAATGTGTGTTTTTGGGGTATGCATCAAAGTATAAAGGTTTTCTTTGTTATGATGCTTCGAAAAACAAAATGTATGTGTCTCGACATGTTTTATTTGATGAGACAGAGTTCCCTTATCATTCTCTGGTGTCTACATCTCACCTTAGTTCTTTTTCACCACTACCATCACATATATCAATCCCACATCCTGTTCCAGATCAAAATAATGTTCTTGTGGTTCCACAGTCATCTTCCCCCTCAACTTCGAGTTCATCATCAGGTTCTATACCATTAGATTCAGCTTCTATATCTAGTGTTATGCCAAATACTGGTCTACATCACTCTTCAGCAGATTCTTCTACAGTCCCAAGTACAGTTTCAAGCTCTAGTCCAGACGGTTCATTGGATGGTCAATTCATTGTTTCATCAACAACACAGCCCTTATCCTCTACACTCCCTGTGGTACCTGAATTCCAACCTGATCAACTACAAGTGGTTCTCTTTATTCCTCCAGTTAATTTACATCCAATGCAGACACGGTCAAAGAGTGAGATTGTGAAGAAAATCGCTTTCCTTGCTGTTGTTCATGAAAATTGAGGTGTGGATTTGACTCAAGTGGAACCTGCAACATATAAATCTGCACTCAAATCTCCAGTTTGGTATGATGCTATGAAAGATGAGATTGTTGCTCTCCATAATCAAGGTACATGGTCATTGGTTCCATTGCCTCAACACAAGAACTTAGTTGGGTGTAAGTAGGTGTATAAGATCAAAACGAATGTTGATGGTTCAATTGGGAGATATAAGGCACGGCTGGTGGCAAAAGGCTTTAGTTAAGAAGAGGGCATTGATTATGGCGAGACTTTTCGTCCTGTTGTTAAACCAACAACAGTGAGATTAGTCTTGGCTTTATCTGCACATTTTGGCTGGACTTTGAGACAATTGGATGTGAAGAATGCCTTCCTCCATGGCATATTGCAAAAAGAAGTCTATATGACACAGCCACCTGGGTTTGTTGATCCAAAGCATGAAGATTATGTGTGCAGGTTACATAAATCACTCTACGGTTTAAAACAGGCACCATGGGCCTGGAATGAGAGGTTCACGACTTTTCTACCATCTTTAGAGTTCAAGTCTACATATGCCGATTCATCCTTGTTTGTAAAAACTGTTGATCATTCTGTGGTGATCCTGCTTTTATATGTGGATGACATAATCATAACAGGGAGTGCTATGCAAGCTATCATTGAAGTTATTCAATCTCTTGCTAAGGAGTTTGAAATCAAAGATTTAGGACCCCTTCACTATTTTCTGGAGATTCAAATTGTGCAGAATATGGATGGCATGTTTCTTTCCCAAGACAAGTATGTAACTGACCTTTTAACTAAGTCGAACATGCTTCTCTCTAAACCCTGTGCTACTCCATGTTTGCCAAACAATAGACTACTCATCGATGATGGTAAGCCGTACAATAATCCTTCCTTGTATAGGAGCTTGGTTGGTGCCCTACAATACTTGACGTTTACTAGACCGGACATTGCTTTTGCTGTGCATCAGGTCTGTCAATTTATGCAAAGACCGATGGAATCTCATTTTTTGGCTGTGAAACGGATCCTCAGGTATCTAAAGGCTACTCGAGGCTGTGGTATTCACTATGTCCGAGGATCTCTTGATATAACTGCATATAGTGATGCAGATTGGGCTGGAGACCGTAATGATCGACGGTCAACTACGGGCATGGTGGTGTTCTTGGGTTCTAATCCTATTTCCTGGATGTCTAAGAAACAAACCACAGTCTCTCGGTCATCAACGGAGGCTGAATATCAGACACTATCTACTACAGCTGCTGAACTGGATTGGCTCAAGTCTCTGCTGCATTTTCTACAGATTCCAATGACTGAGCAACCCCTCCTCTTTTGTGACAATTTGTCTGCGATAGCTTTGACTTGCAATCCAATTCAACATCAACGAACAAAACATATTGAGGTTGATGTTCATTTTGTTCGTGAAAGGGTAGCAGCACAACAACTACAGGTGCACTTTGTGTCTTCAACTGAGCAGTTTGCAGATATCCTTACCAAAGGTCTCTCTGCCCCTCTTTTTCGGACTCATTGTGCCAATCTCAGGCTGCATTTCTCTGCTCCTGAGCTTGAGGGGGGATGTTAGGAGTATGAAGATCCTATGGCTGTGAATTAGACATGTGTCAAGAGATTACAAAGTTAGTTAAAGTTTGTTATAGTGTAGCTTAGAGTGTAAGCTACAAATGCAAACTATATAAGCTTTGTAACGATCATTTTGTAACTAACAAGAAAGATAATACATTTCTAAAATTCTCTTCTCTGTCTAAACTCTTGATTCTCCTTTCTTCTTCTCTCTTTCTCTGTAAAGCTATCTTTAGCAATATTATACAATAGTTTACATTGAGCTCACACTAGCACTAATATTATAAATATCAAACTCAAATTACCTAATATATATATATATATATATATATATATATATATATATATATATATATATCATACTCATTCAAAGTACTGTGAAAAACTTTACAAGTTACAAATAAAATAGCAATAGAATCAAGACGAAAAGTAGAGTGTGAAAGAAACAGAAGTGTCCAACAACAAAAAATAGCTCAATTAACTTTTAAACTGTTAATGTATTTATTTTGTAAGATGGGTATGATTGGCATCGATCCCACACTTTATAAGCTTCTTTTTATTATTGAAAGAAACCAATGCAGGAGTGTATCTTATCCTTACAAAGCGGCACTTCCTCAGACTGCATAATGGCCTGATATCATACAACAGTCTAGAGATCACAAGCTTTGAAGTGATACTTTGTGGTTGAAAAACTAATGACTAACGTCTTGTTTTTAATAGTTTATTTACAAGGAGTTTATAGTTTAGTTGGTTAAGAGCATTCTTACTTGCACTTGAAGTCTCAAGTTCGAATCGCTTCTCTTCCAATATCACGTGTACTGAAAAAAGTGCAATTTAATTCATAAGTCTTATAAGTTATATGGATCATATGAGTTAAGTGAATGCACAAGATGGTTCACATTTAAGAGAATTACTTGAATTCTCACGGGTAATATTTGTTGAAATAACCAAAAACACATTAGATATTAATATCTTCTTTTGTTTGGACCAAAAATTAGATGATAACTAGCTAATGCATTGATTAGAAATTCCTAAATGTTAGGAGAATGTCACATATATACATTGAATAGAAAACTTCATTTTAATCCTTAAAAAAGATGAGTTTTAGATTATAACCCTGTGTAAGATCAAAATCCAATTTTAGTCCCTAGTACATTTAATCATATCATTTATTAGTTATATTTTGATGTTTTATTTATCTTTTTTATTTTTATTTTTATGTATTAATTACATTTAAATTTAATTTTTATTTCATTCATCATAATATATTTTAATGTCTACATTTAGGCAACTAATTTTTTTATAATATATATTCCGATAACAATTTTATATGTTCTTCATTTAGGTACATTAATACATTTGAATATTTCGGTATATCCATCGGTACAAACATATAGTTACATTGATTCAATATAATGCATTTCGTTACATACATTTTGGTACACACATTTGAGTATTGACTTTTAGGTACATTAATTCAATATATTATATTTTGGTAAATAAATTTAGGTACATACATTTTGGTATTGATATTTAGGTACATACATTTCGGTATTGACATTTAGGTATGTACATTTTGGTACATACATTTCGGTATTGACATTTAGGTACATTAATTCAATATAATACATTTCGGTGCATACATTTAGGTTCATTATAATATATTTCGGTACAATCATGTAGGTACAAATATTTCGGTACAAAAAAGTCAATTTTATATATTTAGCGCAGTCATTTATGTATACTTAATTATGTATTTATATATTTTTGTATCACAAATTTCTTTTAATATTTTCTCATTTATGTTCATTTCTAATTAAAAAAACTAAATATGTGCATATTAATAAAATTAAAATTTAATATGGAAAGATTAAATAAAAATACACATTAAATAACAAAAATTGAATGTAAATTTTGATAAAAGTACACTCAAGGGATTAAATTGAATATTTAATCTAGCACCAGGTTTTTTTAAAATTTTAATCTTTTGCAAGGACTAATGTTCAAAAACCCCTACATTGAATCTTGAATTGGTTTCTCACTAGATAACCCTAATGTGACAATGACAAAATTCACCATATTTTTGTTGTTTGGTTTTGTGGCCGGTCGCATTTTCAAACAGTTGATTAGAAATTCCTAAATGTTAGGAGAATGTCACATATATACATTGAATCTTGAATTGGTTGCTCGCTAGATAACCCTAATGTGACAATGACAAAATTCACCATATTTTTGTTGTTTGGTTTTGTGGCCGGTCGCATTTTCAAACACTCAAAGAATAACAAACCACCAGGGACAACCGGTAGGTCTGGTACTCAACAACACTATTTTAGATTTCACGTGTTTTTGTTTGCATTAACAGTTTCTCCATGCCTATATATATTTACAGGCACCGCGAACTTTTTAAATCACTACCATCAAATCCTACCTCAAAAAGAAAACAAGAAAAAAACAAGAGTCAAAACCCTTTCCTAGTGCAGTGATGGAACCCAACGTTGGCTTTCTCTCATTGTGCTTGCTAGTCACCTTCATTATTCGTTTTCTGATCAAACGTTTTTGGCATCAAAGCGACAATAAAAACGATAGCAAAGTATTCAAGCCAAACTATCCACTTCCTCCCACTCCAAAATGCCTAAAACCATGGCCTATTGTCGGCAACCTCCCTGAATTGCTGGCTAACAAGCCCACATTCCGGTGGATACACAAGATGATGGACGAAATGAACACTGAAATTGCATGCATCCGTCTTGGGAACACGAATGTGATTCCCATCACTTGCCCTCAACTCAGCCGCGAAATCTTAAAGAAGCAGGACGCAATCTTCGCGTCGCGTCCGCGTATCATTTCCACTTTTCTTGTCACCAAGGGATACAAAACTGCGGCTCTGGTGCCCTTCGGAGAACAATGGAAGAAAATGAGGAAGGTAATAACAAGCGAATTGCTTACTCCAATGAGGCACAAGTGGCTCACGGACAAAAGGGTTGAAGAGGCCGATCACATCGTCAAGTATGTGTACAACCAGTGCAACAACAATGAAGGTGGTGGCATTGTAAATTTGAGACTTGCCACTCAACATTATTGTGCAAATGTGATTAAGAAAATGGTTCTCAACAAGAGGTACTTTGGGGAGGAAATGGAGGATGGTGGGCCTGGTTTGGAGGAACAAAAGTATTTAGAAAATGTATTTACAATACTTAACTACATCTATTCATTTTCTGTATCCGATTACATTCCATGCTTGAGAGGGCTTGACTTGGATGGCCATGAGAAGATTATCAAGGATGCCATAAGAGATACAACAAAATACCAAGACCCCTTAATCGAAGAGAGGGTTTGTGAACATCAGAAACTTGGCAATAACAAGGAGGCACACGACTTGCTTGACATTCTTATCTCTCTGAAAGATAAGAATGGCGAACCCTTACTGTCTCTGGAAGAAATCAAAGCTCAATTCAGTGTAAGCTCTTATTATCTCTCTCAATTATTATATTTTCATATGTATTACGTGCATGTTCTTATAACTATTAGGTGTAAATGCATGTATAGATAAATATTGCTAAGAATGTAAATGAATCGCAAATGCGTCAATAAGTACAATAAACACAAAAATAGTTGTGTAATACGATATGATAATGCTAGGAAGACTAAATTTGTAGAAAAAAATTGCAAACTAAATGATGTATCACCAATATGAATGAACACGTTTATCAACGCTAAAATAATAATTTAATCAACAATTTTCATGTCATTTAGTTTACAATATTTTATATGCAAATTTAGTCTCCATAGAAATACTATAATACTCTTAAGTGTTGTTACTAATTCTCGTGTAATCTATGCATCAAAAACTACTTCACCATGCAAGGTATTTCCTTCCATTAACGTGAAATTCATTCTCAACACATCATTTAAGCTCTTTTCTTTTTCCTCCATACGACTAAACTGAAATGATCAATATGCATCTTCTGCCATTTTTCTTTGTCAGTACCAATTAATGATCAAGAAATTAACATGTATACTTGTTGTGTGGATACAGGAACTAACAATAGCAGCAGTGGACAATCCCTCAAATGCTGCTGAATGGGCAATTGCAGAGATGATAAATCAACCTGAACTCTTTGAGAAAGCAACACAAGAACTTGATGCTGTGGTCGGAAAGAACAGACAAGTTCAAGAGTCGGATTTGTCGCAGCTCAACTTCGTAAAGGCATGCGCCAGAGAAGCCTTCCGCCTCCACCCGGTGGCACCGTTCAATGTACCTCACGTGTCTATGGCCGACACAACCGTCGGAGATTACTTCATCCCCAAGGGTAGCCACGTGATTCTCAGCCGAGTCGGACTGGGCCGCAACCCTAAAGTTTGGGACGAGCCTCTCAAGTTCAAGCCGGAGCGGCACCTAAAGGACGACGGGTCCGGGGTGGTGCTCACCGAGTCGGAATTGCGGTTCATTTCGTTCAGCACGGGGATGCGGGGCTGCGTAGCGAGTACACTCGGCACTGCCATGACCGTAATGCTGTTTGCTAGGCTTCTTCATGGGTTTACATGGCACGTGCCACCCACTGAGTCAACCATCGAACTCACCGAGTCAACAAACGATCTCTCACTCGCGAAGCCACTGCTTGCATATGCAAAGCCACGTTTGCCTGCTCATGTTTACCAAACGAAATGATTTGAATTGGGTCAAGAATCAGTTTCCCTAGGCATGCATGCAAGATTTGATTAGGCTTAAATAAGTGGTACAAATCTTATACCATCTTGTATTAAACTAAATAATGTTATATAATATTTACTATGTAATGGGTGTTTGCACAAATATCCACCTAAAGTACTTATAGGGGTGTGCAAATTTATCGCTGAGTATTTCAGTTCTTTTAATGTGTCACATAGACTATGCTCCATGTAGCAATGTGGCATATACTTTTTTTGTGTTAAAATTATTAGTCACGTGTGCATTCCATTTTCTTAAGAATATTATGCTCCTCCTATCGTTGCCATAAAAAAAAG